AGTTGTAACTGACCTGATTCATCTTAGCAACCAGCTAATTGCTAGAATCAGGGGCATTAGATTAGGGTTGGAGCAAAAACCTACAGGACGGTTGCGCTCCAGGAACAGGGTTGGAGAGCCCTGCCTTAGACCCTGATTTGCAATCAGTTTTGCGCTCATTCACATATTAGGATTTAGGGAGGGTGAATAACGTTAGGTAGCAAGTGGCTAATGTGCTTGAAAATTAGCAAGCTTGTTGCAACCTGGATAGCTACTTGTAAACAATAGCTGGAACGACCGAGCGAACAGACGCGAACTGGCTGAGTCAATTCAGTGGCTAGCTTTGCACTTGGCTAGCTAACAGTAGCTGCTAGGGGTAAGTCATAACCTACACTTGTGTTTTGTTTTTTACATATTGATAGCCCGAGTCGCTCAAGGAATTCGGGACATGGGTGACTAGTTAACGGTAGTTTGGCTCTCTCTGTGTGTTCGTGCCGTGAAAGGAGGGGTTCTTCTTTGTCTGAAAGCAATGGCTAGCTAGTTTGCTAACTATTCTAGCTAACTAACTGGCTGAATAAGTTGACGACGGACTCGCTCAAGCTGTCGGGACTAACCCACAACGTTAGACACGGACACGAACAATCTGCTTTTGTGTTGATACACTGGTGGTTGTTGTGGCTGAGTATTGGCGCTAAACCCTGCTGTTGGAGACCGGCATGCTAGCTGGCTGTGGCGTCTTATGCGAGGTGCCCGGACGTTTTTCACGGAATAATACTGCACCTAGTTAGCTAGCTGAATAAACTAGGTTAGTCTATTCCTAGAAAACATTGAACCGCTGTAGTTTACAACAATTATAGTTTCTGAGGTGGAAGTTGGGAGAGTTATATTTGGGAGTTGTGGTGAGGGAGGCCCCGCTCTCTCCATTCCCAGATGTTTAGTTCATTTTATTCCGATCTCCTCTGCATTATTGTAGCCATCTGCTGCACCCTGTCAACTATGCCTCTGCCTATCCCTGTTCTCTCCTCTCCGCACAGGCTACACAAACGCCTCACACCGCGTGGCTGCTGCCTCTCTAACCTGGTGGTCCCTGCACGCACGACCCACGTGGAGTTCCAGGTCTCAGGCAGCCTCTGGAACTGCCGTTCTGCTGCCAACAAGGCAGACTTCATCCCAGCCTATGCTACCCTACAGTCCCTCGACTTCTTGGCGCTGACGGAAACATGGATTACCACTGAAAACACTGCTACTCCTGCTGCTCTCTCCTCGTCTGACCATGTGTTCTCGCATACCCCGAGAGCATCTGGTCAGCGGGGTGGTGGCACAGGAATCCTCATCTCTCCCAAGTGGACATTCTCAATTTTTCCCCTGACCCATCTGTCTATCTCCTCATTTGAATTCCATGCTGTCAGTCACTAGCCCATTTAAGCTTAATATCCTTGTCATCTATCGCCCTCCAGGTTCCCTTGGAGAGTTCATCAATGAGCTTGACGCCTTGATAAGTTCCTTTCCTGAGGATGGCTCACCCCTCACAGTTCTGGGGGATTTCAACCTCCCTACGTCTACATTTGACTCATTTCTCTCTGCCTCCTTCTTTCCACTCCTCTCCTCTTTTGACCTCACCCTCTCACCGTCCCCCCCTACTCACAAGGCAGGCAATACGCTTGACCTCATCTTTACTAGATGCTGTTCTTCTACTAATCTCACTGCAACTCCCCTCCAAGTCTCCGACCACTACTTTGTATCCTTTTCTCTCTCCCTCTCCTCCAACACTACTCACTCTGCCCCTACACAGATGGAAATGCGCCGTCGCAACCTTCACTCTCTCTCTCCCGCTACTCTCTCCTCTTCCATCCTATCATCTCTTCCCTCTGCTCAATCCTTCTCCCTCCAATCTCCTGATTCTGCCTCCTCAACCCTCCTCTCCTCCCTTTCTGCATCCTTTGACTCTCCATGTCCCCTATCCTCCCGGCCGGCTCGGTCCTCCCCTCCAGCTCCGTGGCTTGATGACTCATTGCGAGCTCACAGAACAGAGCTCCGGGCAGCTGAGCAGAAATGGAAGAAAACTAGACTCCCTGCAGACCTGGCATCTTTTCACTCCCTCCTCTCTACATTTTGTTCATCTGTTTCTGCTGCTAAGGCCACTTTCTACCACTCTAAATTCCAAGCATCCGCCTCTAACCCTAGGAAGCTCTTTGCCACATTCTCCTCCCTGCTGAATCTGAATCCCCCCCCCCCCTCCTCCCTCTCTGTGGATGACTTCGTCAACCATTTTGAAAAGAAGGTTGACGACATCCGATCCTCGTTTGTTAAGTCAAATGACACTGCTGGTCCTGCTCACACTGCCCTACCCTATGTTTTGACTTCTTTCTCCCCTCTCTCTCCAGATAAAATCTTGCGACTTGTGACGGCAGGCCGCCCAACAACCTGCCCGCTTGACCCTATCCCCTCCTCTCTTCTCCAGACCATCTCCGGTGACCTTCTCCCTTACCTCACCTCGCTGATCAACTCATCCTTGACCGCTGGCTATGTCCCTTCCGTCTTCAAGAGAGCGAGAGTTGCACCCCTTCTCAAAAAACCAACACTCGATCCCTCTGATGTCAACAACTACAGACCAGTATCCCTTCTTTCTTTTCTCTCCAAAACTATTGAGCGTGCTGTCTTTAGCCAACTCTCTTGCTATCTCTCTCAGAATGACCTTCTTGATCCAAACCAGTCAGGTTTCAAGACTGGTCATTCAACTGAGACTGCTCTTCTCTGTGTCACAGAGGCTCTCCGCACTGCTAAAGCTAACTCTCTCTCCTCTGCTCTTGTCCTTCTAGACCTGTCTGCTGCCTTTGATACTGTGAACCATCAGATCCTCCTCTCCACCCTCTCCGAGCTGGGCATCTCCGGCGCCACTCACTCTTGGATTGCGTCCTACCTGACCGGTCGCTCCTACCAAGTGGCGTGACGAGAAGCTGTCTCCGCACCACGTGCTCTCACCACTGGTGTCCCCCAGGGCTCAGTTCTAGGCCCTCTCCTATTCTCGCTATACACCAAGTCACTTGGCTCTGTCATATCCTCACATGGCCTCTCCTATCATTGCTACGCTGACGACACACAACTAATCTTCTCCTTTCCCCCTTCTGATAACCAGGTGGCGAATCGCATCTCTGCATGTCTGGCAGACATATCAGTATGGATGACGGATCACCACCTCAAGCTGAACCTCGGCAAGACGGAGCTGCTCTTCCTCCCGGGGAAGGACTGCCCGTTCCATGATCTCGCCATCACGGTTGACAACTCCGTTGTGTCCTCCTCCCAGAGTGCGAAGAGCCTTGGCGTGACCCTGGACAACACCCTGTCGTTCTCCGCTAACATCAAGGCAGTGACCCGATCCTGTAGGTTCATGCTCTACAACATTCGGAGAGTACGACCCTGCCTTACACAGGAAGCGGCACAGGTCCTAATCCAGGCACTTGTCATCTCCCGTCTGGATTACTGCAACTCGCTGTTGGCTGGGCTCCCTGCCTGTGCCATTAAACCCCTACAACTCATCCAGAATGCCGCAGCCCGTCTGGTGCTCAACCTTCCCAAGTTCTCTCACGTCACCCCGCTCCTCCGCACACTCCACTGGCTTCCAGTTGAAGCTCGCATCTGCTACAAGACCATGGTGCTTGCCTACGGAGCTGTGAGGGGAACGGCACCTCCGTACCTTCAGGCTCAGATCAGTCCCTACACCCAAACGAGGGCACTGCGTTCATCCACCTCTGGCCTGCTGGCTCCCCTACCTCTGCGGAAGCATAGTTCCCGCTCAGCCCAGTCAAAACTGTTCGCTGCTCTGGCACCCCAATGGTGGAACAAGCTCCCTCACGACGCCAGGACAGCGGAGTCACTCACCACCTTCCGGAGACATTTGAAACCCCACCTCTTTAAGGAATACCTGGGATAGGATAAAGTAATCCTTCTCCCCCCCCCCAAAAATAAATAAATAAATAAATAAAATAAAAACATTGTAAAGTGGTTGTCCCACTGGCTATAAGGTGAATGCACCTATTTGTAAGTCGCTTTGGATAAGAGCGTCTGCTAAATGACGTAAATGTAAATGTAAATAACACCTTTCCAGAAGGACTTCACCTGGCTTGTTTTCTTGGAACAAAATGGCAGATGAGGCAGAGTGGGGAGGTCGCTGGCAGGGATCCAGCGAGGGGGTGGGGGGGGTGGGGGGGGGGGGGGGTGATGGGGTAGGGTCAAAGCCAGCATGAGGTGAAAGGTCACATCAGCTAAACGCCATCCCAGTGGTGCCAGGGGTCGGGGGGGCAGGGGCGGCTGGCACGGTGTCACCGGACCCTGTCGACCTTCGTACTGAGTGACTGCTAACAGCTGGGAGCTACGCTAGCTCCCCTGTCGGACACCTTGACCTGTGACCTCTGAGCTGGGGCCGCGACAGAGCACCTGGCTTGATATGTCTGGCACACACACATATACCTCTCCTCACGTACTGTACACACACAGACACAAAATCTCACATCTATGTACGCACTGTCCACACACACACACACACACCCCTTCTAGTCTATGCTAAGCCCTGAGAGGTCAGAACAGAGCTGTGTGGGGGTGGCATATCACACCTCGTGAGCAGCCTCTGGACAGCTCATGCTAGATCTTCATGCTAAACTGACTAACAGGCAGCCATCTGAACCCAGTTTAGCAGACAAGATACACAGGAAATCCAAGTGTTTTTATTAAACAATGTTAGGTTGGTTACATAGTTAAAAGACTGATAACCCTCCAAGTTCTGAGGAGGAAGCCAACAAGATGGCGCCGACAGACACGGTCGCCCTGTTGCTAGCTCCTAGCACAAGCATTTCACTGCACCTTTTCTACCTGCTGTAAACTGTGTACGTGACGTATACATTTGATGTGTGTGTAACTGGAAGGACGGCGGAAGAAAGTAACCTAAAAGAAGCAGTCAGGAAGAAACCTAAGCCAGGATGTAGTTTGCCAAACCAGGAAGTTGCCTAGTGGCCCTCGCGGAGGGACTACTTACCGGCAAGGAGGAAGGTGATGAGGCAGGTCTCTTTGGGCATGTAGAGTTTGAGGCGGGAGCCACTGAAAACGTATTCTACCACCGCCTCCGAGCGGCCTGCTCTCTGGAGGAATGGCAGGAACTGCTTGGCCTTCTGTGTCTCCTGAGAGAGAGAGCGAGAGAGAGAGAGAGAGAGAGAGAGAGAGAGAAACAGTGAGTAGGAGGAACTGACAAACAAATAAGGATGTTCACACCTCAAACATGTTCAGAGTAGCAGCTTCACCCTATAAATGCAGATCTCCATGGTCATTTCGATGGTCTGATAGTGGATCATACACCTCAGTCTTAGTCCATCCACTTCATGTACAGATTAGTAAATCTAGGTTGAAGCTCATAGCGTGGGGTGAACGGACCGATGATTTCACCATGACATTGCTAGGCCTCATCTCCCTCTCTCCCTTCTGGTGAGTCACTGGCTTAATGGGTATGCCAAGGCCAGAATTACAAGCGTGGCTAAATCATCGCTTATTCAGACAGGCTGACGAATCAATGGCAGAGAGAGAGAGTTATATTAATAAATACACAGCTAGGCAGGCAGGCCAATGCAGCCACAACAAACAAGGCAGTGACTCACTAGCCCTCTCTCATGATTTAGATGTAGTGGGGGTGTGTGTGTCTGTAGAGGAAGAGAGATTGTGTTCTGGAAAAACAGATGGATGTCCTGGGTAAGGAGGATGAGGTAATATGTTGTTGACAAGGTAGAACTACTCCATCAAGCACCAGGTTGCTCAGGTTTGCAGAGTGCAAAGTCAACATTGTTGTGGTGATTCAAGTTACTGGGCAGGAATCTAGCCCTGAACGACAGATCATTTCTCTGTTCAGATGAACTCTTAGGATGGAGAACGGTGGGCAATGGGAATAGGGAAACACACACACTATCTGGGCTGGGGCGCAGGAGTCAGGAGGGAAGGAAGCAAATATGAAGGGAGGACTGCGTTCACGCAACCTGTACCAATGTGTGTTGGTTCAGAGAGAGAGAGAGAGAGAGAGAGAGAGAGAGAGAGAGAGAGAGAGAGAGGTGTCCCAGTGCCATATCCACTCAGCACCCCCCACCTTTGTATATATACATACATACTGTACACACATCCCCTTATATTCCATAATATATCCACTGTATTTTCCATAATCCCTCTTGGTAATATCCCTGTGTGTGTGTGACACAGGCGGAGAGCTGAGGGGGGCGGTGGTGGGCTGTTAGCTGCTATTTTGAGCTTTTTATGAGAATACTCATTACATTAGCCTGGTCCGGCCACCACAGCCTCCACAGCCCAGCTCTCCAGCCAAGATGGAGCAGTACTTTAAGATGGAGGAACATACACACACACACACACACACACACACACACACAAGCACGCTTGTTCTCCCTGATTGGCAGAAGTCCTCAACAGATTGGCATGGTATCAAGGATCTATTCCTGGGCGGCTGTCAGTCTTCAGAGTGATGGGGAAACAAGCTGACATGGTGATGTGTCGTATCACCCTCTAATATGGCTGCAGTGAAACACAGAGGGCTGCTGAGAGAGACGGAGCACCTTTAGAGGGGGGACTGGGCAAGATCAACACACACAGGTACAGACAGACAACACAGAGAAAGATACACACACACTGGAGTACAGCCGCCATTCCTTTATGTGCTTTAACGCACGCGGTCCACAGAGATTGTGTGGAGAGTGCGCAGAGTAAAATCTAATCTTCATTTAGTGAGCAGCCCAATCAATTTTCATAAGCAGAGACGCTGTCTGCTGCCCCTGGCACATGTAAACAACTTCCTAGATGACTTTATTAACGCAGAGGGGACTATATTTAGATGGGCCTTTATTGCTTTAATACTGGGGGGGACTGGTATTATGGATATTCCTTAGAGTGATTAATCTATGGGTTTGTCCTGGGGAGTGGCTTGGGAGAGACTGGAGGGCATTGAGACTGGTGGGTCAAGGTTTGGCAATTATATTATCAAGAAGAATGATGGTCCCCAAAATGTTTTGGGGATACTGGACCTGGTGACGTGAGAATGTGTATGAACATTGCGCGCGCGCACACACACACACACAGACTGAAGGGGGAAAAACACACAACATATAAGCCTAGTCACATAACAGTGAACACAAACAATTATTCCTCAAAGACCCACAAACATTTCTCTCTCTCCCACCCCCACCCACACTCTCACACTAATCCATCTTACCCCCGAGATATCAGCCACTCTGTGGATGGGGACCTCCTTCTTGCTATGCAGCCCTTTCCCGTTCTTGATTGCCCTGTAATCAATCAGAGGCAGAGAGAGCGAGGCAGAGAGCGAGAGAGTGTGAGACAGAGTGGCCACAATTACGGTTCATCCTATCATGCAGCGAGTTAAGGAGAAACCATCAGGCCTTTGAGCAGCAGAGGAGAAATGGAGCTGGGGGTAATAAACACTCAGAGAACCATTCCGGCTCAGAGAGGGGAATACAGTTTTCCAAGCTCCCC